TATATATATATATAAAAGAAGATAAATAAAGGAGAAAAAAAAAGGAGGAAATCTTAAGTATATTTTGTTTTCAAAAACGACTATAAAAATAATTGAATATAAATCCGTTTTAAATCGGGTGTATAAACAAGAAAAACGACTTAAAATAGGAAATGTCATTTTGTCAAACATGACAGGGCAATATAATTATCAATGGATATCGAATGACTTGCGATACACGTAAAGTCGAGCATTGGAGCGCAGGTGTTAGTCTATGGTTGGATGCCCTTTCATTCCAGTGTTGATCCCTTTCCACTGACCTAGCATACCAGATATTTGTATCTCTTATCCGTTATGGTATCGAACAATAGAAAATCCCTAAGGATGAAAATTTCTCCTTTTTTTTTTTGATTTCTTAGTGTATTCCATTTACGAAAATCGGATAGAAATCTCACGATTATTTTTTCCTTTCTTTCTTTTTTTTTTGCTTAAGAGAAAACAAAAAAAATGGATAATAAAAATAAAGAAAATTACTTGACAGGCTTCGTTAACTTCCGACTTTTTTTTTGACAGATTTTGTTTATTGGAATAAATTTAGAAGGATATTAAGCGAATAAGAATTTAAATAATTTTAATACATTCTCGAGAATCGATGAAGAGAAACGATCAGAACTTTTTTTATACGACGTTATTATTAAATTCTTTCATTTAGTTGAGGTCATTAAGTCACGAATGGGGCTACTGAATATAGGTTACGGTTTAAAAAGAAAAAAAAATAAGATATTATCAAAAGTAATTATCCTATTAAAATCGTATAGATCGATGCAGCTTAACGCGACCGTCTGTTTCGTATTTAGTCACTCACCACCCCCCTCTGCAACAAGAAACGAGATATAAATTAAGTTTACTTTGCTTCAGGTCCAGTATTATACATTAGATGAATATTTTCCCATCAGTAATCCTTCTTATTTTAAAGGATATTACATTAATCTTAAATGCTCTAGGGAGTAAAGGTTTGCTGAAACGATAGAAATTGAGAAAGATAAGTGACTTTAAACCTTGCAAACTCCTTTCAGACTTTTGCTGTCGTAAAGCTCTTTCTGTTGTCTTCGGGGAAAACTATTCTTTCATCAATTTGCCCTTCCCCCCCACCTCTTTTTTTCTTCTTCTTCTTCTCCCTCGTTTGTAAAAGTCCCTGACACTGTACTGTCTGTTTGATGACTTTCATTTGATTTACGGCCTCTAACATATTAAACTGTTCAGTTGTGATAAGGCCATTAAGGATGTTAGTAGCATCATAAATATATTTAATTAAAATGATACATACCTCTTTATGAACTAAATTCCTTCGAGATTTAAGAGCTACCAAGAATAGTAATTCTGCAAAAAATAAGCATGCAACTAGATTTTTATGAATTGTGTTGCTATTAGTTTGTAACCCACGAAGAATGCAAAATACAATAAATGAAGCTGCTAACATTAGTAATGATATAATTATTCCAACGTATGATACGATATCTTGAGCAACTGATTCTTCAATTAAAAACTGTTAGAAAACAGAGAAATATATATTTATATATATACATTTTGAATATATGTTGTTTTATAATAATTATTTTAAAATATATTTACTTCTCTATCGGTGATATCCATCAATACTGAAAAACTAGACAAATGACCACAACTACAATTTACATAAGGATGATGACCATAAGAAACAGCTTCTACTTTGCAACCTTTAGATGACCATTTTCCTCGATCACTATGATTAATAATAATAATAATAATTAATATTAGATAGCAATTATTAATCTTAGATTTATAACAATCATTTAATTCACTTTACCCAATTCCAAAATTCCAATGAACACATTGTGGATTACTACGACTAGTTATATCGAGAATACGGAATCGGAATCGGATATTATGTAGGAGACTATTCAAAGTAGAACTCTGATTCAATGGTTGGGCCACTAATGTAATGATTGGAGAGCTAACTCCCAAATTGATCCCATATCTTTGCCTAAAATGATAATTATGTCAAGCGAAGTTAATTTGAATTATTAAATTCAATTTTATTCAAATTTTAAAAACTATTGGGGATATTTTTAAAATTAAGATTATTACAGTGATTTATATCTAATAATTCAAAACTGTTTTGATTTATATACCTGATGATCACGTCGTAAAATTTAGGCAATATTTCTCCCATAGTTGGATATATAAGATATGAAATTACAGCTACTTCTTTTGGGATATGATTTGAATTGTGACGTGCATTATTTGTATCTATAAATTAAAAATAACTTGCTTAGATTGATAAATTTAAATATTTTATCTTTTGATATCATATCATTTAATACAATGATATTAAATGCTTACCTAATAAGCTCTTTACACCGATTGTTTTTAAGGGAATTATGGCACGAGTAATATCATCTGCATAGTGTTTGCGTACAGGATAATTATTATATTTTGGTATAATTACTGAAGGACCGCTGTCTTCGTGAAATATTTCTAAATATGCAGATGGTTCGGGATGCAATGAGTAAGTTGAGTTTTTATTATTATCTCGAAGTATAGAATAACCCCATAATTCTGCAGTAGAAATTGTATCTAATCCAAATACTGTAAAGAAAATTATAATAATTTTAATATAATATTTTAGATTTTTTATCAATGGTAAGCAAAATATTTAAATATCAGGCATACTCATATTTTTTGATGCAATTTCAAAAGGTTTTGTAAATGTATCTCCTTGATTATACACTAGTGTTTGTCCATACTTTTCGAACATTAATAGGAGATGTTCTGGTCCGTCTCCTGTAATGGTTGCAATACGCTCCCAGACTTCAAAATAACGTGGTTCAAAAATGGCACTTGCTGAAAATACTAAATTCTGAAAAATGTTTTCATAATTATTTTAATTAGATCTTCATTGAATCACTGAAAATATTACAAATATTTTCATTTATGTCACCTGAATAAAGTCTCTATCTTGGCGATGAGTCAAATTTAAACCTCTCTGATGATTTTCATAATTTAAAACATGGTGAAGGAGACGTGCAAGAATTAAAATATCTGTTCCATAAAGTTGTTCAGTAGCATTTACAGCATTTTTCATATCAGCAGAAATTTTTATGGCTAAGTATGTACTGAGAGGCAATTTATTTATTTCTATAACAGAGAGCTGTAAAATTTCCATCAAAGCAAAATTTATTTTATTTTAATTAATGAAATTCTTAAAATAAAAAGCTTTATGTGAAAAGTTATACAAACATGGAAACATCTAATTTATTGGATTATTAACGGGCTATAATAATGCTATTAATTAGATAATTAAACTACTAATTTGATATAAAGATAAGTGATTATACCACCTTTAGGTCAAATTATGTAATTTAATTATCTAATTAACAATAATATCATAGCCTGTTAATAATCAAGTAATTCAGATATTTGGTTATTTGAAAATCANAAAAAATTTTTTTTTATAATTAAAAATAAAAATAATAATAATAATAAATATATGTCATTCACTCTCTACTGACTCTCTAGAAACACTAGATAAGACACGATTCGATATAATACACAGAATTAAAAAATAATAATAAAAGAACAATCTTGTAAGTTGCATGCTGTTATTTTGTGAAAGTGATAATGGATAAAATGCAAGACTAAAATGGCAATTCTCTTTGGGACATTCCAAGGAACATATCAATTTACAGTGCAGTAATATACAGAATTTAGTTCCAGTTCATTTGGCATTAGATAAAAAGGTGATCAAGCATTCACAGTTATGCAAAATAAGGCTCGTGATCTTGACACAGAATTACACATTTTCACCAAGCATCCACATAGAATCTACATCTGCTTCTCGACAGCCTGGTCATTTTTTTTAATGATCAATTAAAAATCAAGTTTATAATGTAGCATGCATAATATATAAATTAGTTACGATTCCTCTCCCGGACTGATGTCATACTGATGTTTCATTACTTTCCCTATAAGATAATTTAAATTTCATTTAAAAAAAAGAGGAGAAAAATAGTAAAACTATATTTTTAATATGTTAAAATTGCTTACCTCGTGACTATATCAAAGCAAGCGTAAAAATATTAAGTTACATTTTTAAACTTGGTGTGGAAATTGTTCTATTTATTAAGCAATAATTAAAAATTGTTCTATATTTACAGCAAGTGGTATTTAAATAGACAATGATTGTTCGGATGTTCACAAAATAATAAATTGATTTATATACAGGGTAACCCAAAAGTCAAGTAACCACTGTTATGACTAATATGTTATTGCATATTTTTTATTGTGGTTAATCTAATTCTGTAATAGAAAAATATATTATTCTACACTTAGTTTTGTGATTTGTATCCACAAATACACCTGGAAAATGCAAAATAAAATGTGGCAAATTGATTTTTGGGTTACTCTGTCAATGCTAAACAGTGCTAAACACATTACCTGTGTTTTAATGTTTTTTTTTTTTTTTGCATTGTTGAAATTACAATAATATCAACAATTATCTTGTATATTATCACGGTGCTTCTATTCTTTTTAGTGCTAATTTAGTAATTTAAAAAAATATCAATAGCTTACTCAGATTCCGAGGAGAGTTCTGTGGCAGTCAAAGGCGGAATGACCATTTTGTGTCCGGATAACACCGACGAAAGCTTTGGCGACGTCTGACTACTGGTCTCATTACAACCATCGTTTTGTATAGAATTTAAATTGTTATTAACGGTATTAATATTACTTGGTAGGCTATCTGCTCTTTCTGGCACCGGCAGTTGTTCTGGACTCGGACTTTCGTCTAGAATCAAATGTTAAGTTACCAATTTGTATCTCCTATTTTGTGAGATTTAATTAAAATTCTAACCTGCTAACGGAGGGGACAACGTCGATTCTAGATATGACGTGAGATCTGTAATGTTTCTGAACTGAGGAGCTGGAATCTCTCTCTGTTGCTGATTGATTGGTTTTCCATTACTTCCTATTATGACTGGAAAACTACCCTCTCTGTCATCTATTGCAATACTCATGGGTGTTTGTGACTGAACAGAAATATTATGAGGCATCATCCATTTTGAAGCATAGTTATATGGAGAGATATTCACACCCAAACCACCTGAATTATTTGATAACATATTAAAACTGTGACCTGTAATGATAAAAAAAACAATGAATTTTTATATAAAACTTATTAAAATTTAAATATATCAATTAAAACATTAATATAATAGATCCTTGCTTTTATGACCTAATTATTTCCTGGAAAACCACTGTCGCAAGTAAGTTGTTCTATTTCCTACAAAGATCAATGTCATAAATTCAGGTTACGTTCCTAAAAATATAATTTAACTGTATAAAGACCACCCAGCAATGGCCAACAAAACATATGATACTTAAATATGGCTTTTATATAGTTATGAAATTTATATCAGTCATAAATCAAGGCATTTCATATATCAGTCATAAAAACAAGGAGATGGCCACATGGTTGAGACAGAAAAGGAATTAGCTGGTTACTCTAGGAATCCAGTGTGAATCATCAGAAACTTTCATGTATAGTTTGGCCATGATCCTCACTATCCATTTGCCTCATTGTGGTTTTAGCTGAATTCACAATAAGCATGAAAAAAGGCAAATGCTCACGAGGTGGAGAGAGTAAAAATACAATAAAAAAAGCAGTTGAATACTGTATATAAAATCATTTTACTCACTTATTGGTCCAACGGTGCTTTCCGATTCTGCAATAATATTTGATTTTGGTGGCAATTCTGAAATAATGACAAATATATATATTATAAGTGATGCTCATCTTAAAATAAATTTTATATTATGGCATAAATATAAGCTTAATACATCCATTATTCTAAATAAGATTAACCAAAACTTATATTTTCAAGTTTTCGAAATGTATTATATTTACACATTTCAATAATACCTGGTTTTTTACTGTGGTTTTTATTTTGTCTCCAGTGTCTTCCGTCATATTCATCTTCGTCGGACGAATGACTCGAAGCCAAATCTAGAGATGCGTGATCTAACGATAGGTCGCTATCGGAATCAGAATCTCTAGTTCTTCTTCTATTAACTTCACCCGTGTCTGGATCTATAAATAGATTTTGATGTAATCGGTTTGACAGATTTTAATGTTTTGAATCTGTTTAATGTACTCACCATCAATCATCTTATCTCTGCTTCTCGATTTGTGATATAAATAAGCTTTCCTTGATGTGTGTCCTCTTGCTTCAGAACTGGAATTGATATTACCTGAAGTCGAGGTAGAAGTATTTCTCAAGTGAGAATCTGAACGATAAGGGCTACTTGATGTTTTGGCTGTCGAACGACTGGTAGTCGAAGAAGTAGAAATGCCAATGTTTCGATGTAAGATATCAAAAGAAGAATTGTGATAGGCAAGAGCAGAACGCTACATTTTTAATAGAAAATTGTTCATTTTAATTTTATAAAGTGTTTATTTTGATATTAGAAAATTGATACATACAGACACCATAGTAGTTCTTGTCCCACTTAGGCTCTCATCATAAGGCACCTTCTTTCCAGTGAGATGCGCCCAAGTCACAATAAGTTGTTGTCTAACCTATAAAATTCAGAAAATTTAATAAACTGCAACTTACAAGAATATAAAATGAAAAAAGAAACTTAAAATATTACCTTTTTGTTTATAATACAATATCCTACAAAGATATAAATTCCTGATACCATGCAAAAAACAGAGAAAATATAGTGTAATAAATCAAGTGATTCATTCACAGAGAGCATGGCCAAAACCCAAGTTGCTCCTAGTAATGGCAATAAAACAATGCCAAGCCACAACATCGTTCTATAACAAATACGAACATTTGAAATTATTCTTTAAAAGTAAATTTTTCGCCCAAATTTTTGTAAATGAATTTTTACCTCAGATTACCAAAATCTGTAACAGTATCTTTTATTTGTATACTGGCACGAATTGACATGGCAAACACACCTAAGTTGAGCTGTAAAAAGATTAAAATGCTAAGAGAAAAATGGCAAAAACTTGAATGATAAATTTTTGTTTTTGATGAATACAAACCAAAACGACAAAGCATATTGGACCAACGAGGCTCCATACAACGCTTTCATAAATAGACAACCAGCAGCTGGAATAAAATAGAATACAAAAAATTTTTTAATAAATATTATATTGATTTATTTCTAAAAATACTTTATATGAAAACAATTATTTTTTTTATAACATATAACAGTAAAATCTTTTTTAAAGAAATATATTTAATGAGTATCAAGAACATGGCCAGATGGCCAAGCAGTAAGGTGTTGGCCTACTACTCTGTGGACCTAGGAATGAATCTGGACAGGTCAAAAATCTCCAGAAATTTTTCCAGGGTGTCTGTTCCAAATATCTCGGACCCTGTCCCTCACCTCCCAGACCCAATATGGGACTAAGAAAGGGCTCTCTTAGGTGTGTCCATAGGTCAGAAAGAGTAATAAAAGAAGGTATCAAGAATACTTGTGCAAAAATAGACATTACATATTAGTTATTATCTCACTTGGTTATAGCATATGAAATATATAATGCAAGCAATCTGTAAACATAAAATGAATAAATAAATTATAATTTATTAAGTTAGAATTATTCAAATTGTATCTTTGTCATGTTATATTACTGAATACTGTTCTGTTTTGTATACTATTTTATTAAATACTTATGAAAATGCAAAAAGTTATCATTGCAAAAGTACAGAATGTTTTGTACTATATGAAATTTAAAAATTATATTTAATAATTTATATATGGATTCAAGGATTCATTGTCGAAGACATTGACTCGACAACACTGCAAGTGGTTTATTAACTAAACAAGTGGCGGATAGTTAAAAATGATTTTTATAAGGTCTACTCAACAAATAGGAAAATAAATTTTTAAAGTATATCTGATATCCTAAAAACATTCCATATAAGAAAATATGGAAGTAAAGCTAACTGTAAGACAACTAAAATAAGAGGATAATAGTGATTGATGGTATACTAAAATAATATATTTTTGGAAGTTGAGATGTCAAGAATTTATATAAAAATGGAAAATTTCGGATTTGACATGAGAATGACAATAATAATAAAATATTCCTATTCCAAGATAGTATTTTATAAAAAGTTTATAAGCTATGCTAATTAAAATTGCAGAGTACTAGAAAAATAATCCATACATCAAAATTAATGCAGGTTAAAAGCACAAGAATCAAATAAGAATATATACTAAATAAAATATGATTTAAAGGACAATATAAAGATATATTTTCTTTCTACCTAAAATATCTATAGATTTATGACAGAGAATTTAAAATTTCAAAATCAGCCGTAAAGACGATACTTTCTGTACTGTTTTGCGGAACTATTTTAGTAATGGTTTACTACTATAATCAATATAAATTTCAATTGTAAATGAAAGAAAGCAATTTTATTTATTTAGAGTTTACGTCAGGCATTCATGAATTAATAAAAATCTGTAAATACTTTTATTGTAAAATCGATTTCGTGACTTTATATAATATAAAATGATGCCAAAAAATATATATTAAGCCTATTATATTCCAAATAAATATAAAATTATTCCTAACATCAATAAAAAATAATAATAATTTTTAATAACAATAAACATATTAAACATGTTTTATGACTTATAAATTATATCTTATTACTATTGTATTTGTATTGCACATTAAAAATTTTAATAACGTTATTTTGTTTCTTAGATACTAATGAAATTTACTTTAGATTTGTATTTGTTGATTTTGGCTTTTGTGTAAAGCCAACAAATGCTATATTATATACAGTAATGAAAATTTTAAATGCTATTTTACATAGAAAATTTTTATTATTTCCTATTGTTTGCAAAATAGTTAGAATGCAATGAGCATTTAATAATAAACAATAAATTAATGAAATTTGTTTTATTTAAATAAATTATACAGACATCAACAGAGACAAAATAAAGCTATCCTTAAGAAAAAAAATACACTAATAACAAATGGTAATCTTGTAAAGCTTAACATGTAATACCCTAGTTTAATATAAAAGAAAATGAATAAATAAAAATAATAAATATCTGCAATGGTATTATGCTGTTATATAATGTTTTTTTACATACGAACTTAAATTTTTTAATTAAAGTTTAAATATAATACCTCAAAATCAATAATAGAATCGATAGTCATAAAAAGCATTTGTTGTAATAAGATAAAAAGAATGGTCTATATTTACATAATGTGTCTCTAGAAATGGAGTTGAAATTAATAAAATAGACAATTTTGATGAATAATTTTTATAAAAATATATATAGTAAAACTATATCATGTTGTAATAAAATAGATTAAAAGATATATTGGGTATATAGTCATGTTTACTAATTATGTTGATAGATAAAAATCACTTCACAGATCTAAAAGACAAATATTTCATTGAAAAATATAAACAAAAAGAAATTTTACTGAAAAAATTTATCTTCTAGTGAGAATAAATAGGTCATTTTAAATTGTTTTTACCTTTGCTTTATCCTTATATTATATTATTACTTTAATTTTCTTAGATTAATAGAAAGAGGAGGTGCTAAATCTATTTAAAATATTGTTTAATATTTACAATATGGAAAAATGAAAAAGAATTGATTCAATTGATTAATGTTTCCTGTTACTACATAAACTATTAATTCATTCATTTATCTTTCTTTATGAAAAAGTCATGTCAGACTACTCTATTAGCTGAATTATCTTAATTTTCAACAGATGTCAATAATTCTATAATAATTATGATGAGTGACAAAATATCTATACCATCATTCAGATATGTTCAATAATAATTTTAACATAAAATTTTGAATTTTAAAAGATTATTTAACTGAAAATTATTCAAATTACAGTATTTCTTATTTGATAATTCAATAATTTTGATTTACAAGAAAGTGATTCATCCACAGTTCAAATCTATCATTATGTTTGACTACTGTATGAGTATATGATGATTTTGATTATGCAACTTTGATACTGTTAAAAATATACAGAAAGAAAATAGTATTATATTAATTTTTAAATGAAATAATGTATATCTTGTAACTATTTAAATTTTGAATTTACAGAATATATAAAATAGTAATTGGGTATAATGAGATAACATATCAGACATATTTCTCTATTCTACTATAAAACAGTAGTTACTTATGCTTTTCTTGTTAACATACTCATCATAACTCTAAGTAAATAGTAGAAAAGATGAGAATTTTTATATATAATAAAGATACATCATTTTAAAAAATATTTAAACTTACAAAAAATAATTTCCATACTGATCTGCTCTAACTCCAACTGCAAGTCCAACAATAATAGCTGGAGCACCTATAGATTAAAGTAATTATTTAAACAATGTTAAATCATTTTTTATTAAAAAAAATTATTAAACAAATGAAAGATTTAATTACCATAACCAATGGAGTAATAAAATCTCATTTGACCGTGATTAATATCTCTCATTTCGGTTAACATTCGATAAAGATGAACTGCTTCCATGAACATCCAAGAAAATATGCATAAAAATGTATAGTGCAATAAAATTGCAACAACTTTACATGGAAACTGAAATATTTTACAATGTGTTCAAATATTTTATTACTATAACAAATAATATATTTAATTATAAGCATAACAAATATTTAATTAAAATGATACATACCTCTTTATGAACTAAATTCCTTCGAGATTTAAGAGCTACCAAGAATAGTAATTCTGCAAAAAATAAGCATGCAACTAGATTTTTATGAATTGTGTTGCTATTAGTTTGTAACCCACGAAGAATGCAAAATACAATAAATGAAGCTGCTAACATTAGTAATGATATAATTATTCCAACGTATGATACGATATCTTGAGCAACTGATTCTTCAATTAAAAACTGTTAGAAAACAGAGAAATATATATTTATATATATACATTTTGAATATATGTTGTTTTATAATAATTATTTTAAAATATATTTACTTCTCTATCGGTGATATCCATCAATACTGAAAAACTAGACAAATGACCACAACTACAATTTACATAAGGATGATGACCATAAGAAACAGCTTCTACTTTGCAACCTTTAGATGACCATTTTCCTCGATCACTATGATTAATAATAATAATAATAATTAATATTAGATAGCAATTATTAATCTTAGATTTATAACAATCATTTAATTCACTTTACCCAATTCCAAAATTCCAATGAACACATTGTGGATTACTACGACTAGTTATATCGAGAATACGGAATCGGAATCGGATATTATGTAGGAGACTATTCAAAGTAGAACTCTGATTCAATGGTTGGGCCACTAATGTAATGATTGGAGAGCTAACTCCCAAATTGATCCCATATCTTTGCCTAAAATGATAATTATGTCAAGCGAAGTTAATTTGAATTATTAAATTCAATTTTATTCAAATTTTAAAAACTATTGGGGATATTTTTAAAATTAAGATTATTACAGTGATTTATATCTAATAATTCAAAACTGTTTTGATTTATATACCTGATGATCACGTCGTAAAATTTAGGCAATATTTCTCCCATAGTTGGATATATAAGATATGAAATTACAGCTACTTCTTTTGGGATATGATTTGAATTGTGACGTGCATTATTTGTATCTATAAATTAAAAATAACTTGCTTAGATTGATAAATTTAAATATTTTATCTTTTGATATCATATCATTTAATACAATGATATTAAATGCTTACCTAATAAGCTCTTTACACCGATTGTTTTTAAGGGAATTATGGCACGAGTAATATCATCTGCATAGTGTTTGCGTACAGGATAATTATTATATTTTGGTATAATTACTGAAGGACCGCTGTCTTCGTGAAATATTTCTAAATATGCAGATGGTTCGGGATGCAATGAGTAAGTTGAGTTTTTATTATTATCTCGAAGTATAGAATAACCCCATAATTCTGCAGTAGAAATTGTATCTAATCCAAATACTGTAAAGAAAATTATAATAATTTTAATATAATATTTTAGATTTTTTATCAATGGTAAGCAAAATATTTAAATATCAGGCATACTCATATTTTTTGATGCAATTTCAAAAGGTTTTGTAAATGTATCTCCTTGATTATACACTAGTGTTTGTCCATACTTTTCGAACATTAATAGGAGATGTTCTGGTCCGTCTCCTGTAATGGTTGCAATACGCTCCCAGACTTCAAAATAACGTGGTTCAAAAATGGCACTTGCTGAAAATACTAAATTCTGAAAAATGTTTTCATAATTATTTTAATTAGATCTTCATTGAATCACTGAAAATATTACAAATATTTTCATTTATGTCACCTGAATAAAGTCTCTATCTTGGCGATGAGTCAAATTTAAACCTCTCTGATGATTTTCATAATTTAAAACATGGTGAAGGAGACGTGCAAGAATTAAAATATCTGTTCCATAAAGTTGTTCAGTAGCATTTACAGCATTTTTCATATCAGCAGAAATTTTTATGGCTAAGTATGTACTGAGAGGCAATTTATTTATTTCTATAACAGAGAGCTGTAAAATTTCCATCAAAGCAAAATTTATTTTATTTTAATTAATGAAATTCTTAAAATAAAAAGCTTTATGTGAAAAGTTATACAAACATGGAAACATCTAATTTATTGGATTATTAACGGGCTATAATAATGCTATTAATTAGATAATTAAACTACTAATTTGATATAAAGATAAGTGATTATACCACCTTTAGGTCAAATTATGTAATTTAATTATCTAATTAACAATAATATCATAGCCTGTTAATAATCAAGTAATTCAGATATTTGGTTATTTAAAAATCATATCTAAACTCTTACTAAACTTTTAATAATTTTATATAATTGCAATAAAATAATATAATCTGATACAGTACTCTTATGTGTAAATAAATTATTACACTATAAAAAATAATGCACTATATAACGTGTATAATATAATTAACAGTTACATAAATGACAATTATAAGCCATATTTATTATTATTTAAAACTATGTAATCTATCAGTTGTATTTCTCTACATCCAAGTTTTCAATTCATAATTACAATATAAAGAAAGTCCTTATATTGTTATAGCATTTTAATACTTACTTGATCAGATAATTCTAGAAAAGTGTCAGATGTACAATTAAATAGATCCGGTTTTTCCCAACCAATATCCGAAGTACATAATCTTGAAGCATTACCTAAGATATAATTTATTTTNACTTACAAGAATATAAAATGAAAAAAGAAACTTAAAATATTACCTTTTTGTTTATAATACAATATCCTACAAAGATATAAATTCCTGATACCATGCAAAAAACAGAGAAAATATAGTGTAATAAATCAAGTGATTCATTCACAGAGAGCATGGCCAAAACCCAAGTTGCTCCTAGTAATGGCAATAAAACAATGCCAAGCCACAACATCGTTCTATAACAAATACGAACATTTGAAATTATTCTTTAAAAGTAAATTTTTCGCCCAAATTTTTGTAAATGAATTTTTACCTCAGATTACCAAAATCTGTAACAGTATCTTTTATTTGTATACTGGCACGAATTGACATGGCAAACACACCTAAGTTGAGCTGTAAAAAGATTAAAATGCTAAGAGAAAAATGGCAAAAACTTGAATGATAAATTTTTGTTTTTGATGAATACAAACCAAAACGACAAAGCATATTGGACCAACGAGGCTCCATACAACGCTTTCATAAATAGACAACCAGCAGCTGGAATAAAATAGAATACAAAAAATTTTTTAATAAATATTATATTGATTTATTTCTAAAAATACTTTATATGAAAACAATTATTTTTTTTATAACATATAACAGTAAAATCTTTTTTAAAGAAATATATTTAATGAGTATCAAGAACATGGCCAGATGGCCAAGCAGTAAGGTGTTGGCCTACTACTCTGTGGACCTAGGAATGAATCTGGACAGGTCAAAAATCTCCAGAAATTTTTCCAGGGTGTCTGTTCCAAATATCTCGGACCCTGTCCCTCACCTCCCAGACCCAATATGGGACTAAGAAAGGGCTCTCTTAGGTGTGTCCATAGGTCAGAAAGAGTAATAAAAGAAGGTATCAAGAATACTTGTGCAAAAATAGACATTACATATTAGTTATTATCTCACTTGGTTATAGCATATGAAATATATAATGCAAGCAATCTGTAAACATAAAATGAATAAATAAATTATAATTTATTAAGTTAGAATTATTCAAATTGTATCTTTGTCATGTTATATTACTGAATACTGTTCTGTTTTGTATACTATTTTATTAAATACTTATGAAAATGCAAAAAGTTATCATTGCAAAAGTACAGAATGTTTTGTACTATATGAAATTTAAAAATTATATTTAATAATTTATATATGGATTCAAGGATTCATTGTCGAAGACATTGACTCGACAACACTGCAAGTGGTTTATTAACTAAACAAGTGGCGGATAGTTAAAAATGATTTTTATAAGGTCTACTCAACAAATAGGAAAATAAATTTTTAAAGTATATCTGATATCCTAAAAACATTCCATATAAGAAAATATGGAAGTAAAGCTAACTGTAAGACAACTAAAATAAGAGGATAATAGTGATTGATGGTATACTAAAATAATATATTTTTGGAAGTTGAGATGTCAAGAATTTATATAAAAATGGAAAATTTCGGATTTGACATGAGAATGACAATAATAATAAAATATTCCTATTCCAAGATAGTATTTTATAAAAAGTTTATAAGCTATGCTAATTAAAATTGCAGAGTACTAGAAAAATAATCCATACATCAAAATTAATGCAGGTTAAAAGCACAAGAATCAAATAAGAATATATACTAAATAAAATATGATTTAAAGGACAATATAAAGATATATTTTCTTTCTACCTAAAATATCTATAGATTTATGACAGAGAATTTAAAATTTCAAAATCAGCCGTAAAGACGATACTTTCTGTACTGTTTTGCGGAACTATTTTAGTAATGGTTTACTACTATAATCAATATAAATTTCAATTGTAAATGAAAGAAAGCAATTTTATTTATTTAGAGTTTACGTCAGGCATTCATGAATTAATAAAAATCTGTAAATACTTTTATTGTAAAATCGATTTCGTGACTTTATATAATATAAAATGATGCCAAAAAATATATATTAAGCCTATTATATTCCAAATAAATATAAAATTATTCCTAACATCAATAAAAAATAATAATAATTTTTAATAACAATAAACATATTAAACATGTTTTATGACTTATAAATTATATCTTATTACTATTGTATTTGTATTGCACATTAAAAATTTTAATAACGTTATTTTGTTTCTTAGATACTAATGAAATTTACTTTAGATTTGTATTTGTTGATTTTGGCTTTTGTGTAAAGCCAACAAATGCTATATTATATACAGTAATGAAAATTTTAAATGCTATTTTACATAGAAAATTTTTATTATTTCCTATTGTTTGCAAAATAGTTAGAATGCAATGAGCATTTAATAATAAACAATAAATTAATGAAATTTGTTTTATTTAAATAAATTATACAGACATCAACAGAGACAAAATAAAGCTATCCTTAAGAAAAAAAATACACTAATAACAAATGGTAATCTTGTAAAGCTTAACATGTAATACCCTAGTTTAATATAAAAGAAAATGAATAAATAAAAATAATAAATATCTGCAATGGTATTATGCTGTTATATAATGTTTTTTTACATACGAACTTAAATTTTTTAATTAAAGTTTAAATATAATACCTCAAAATCAATAATAGAATCGATAGTCATAAAAAGCATTTGTTGTAATAAGATAAAAAGAATGGTCTATATTTACATAATGTGTCTCTAGAAATGGAGTTGAAATTAATAAAATAGACAATTTTGATGAATAATTTTTATAAAAATATATATAGTAAAACTATATCATGTTGTAATAAAATAGATTAAAAGATATATTGGGTATATAGTCATGTTTACTAATTATGTTGATAGATAAAAATCACTTCACAGATCTAAAAGACAAATATTTCATTGAAAAATATAAACAAAAAGAAATTTTACTGAAAAAATTTATCTTCTAGTGAGAATAAATAGGTCATTTTAAATTGTTTTTACCTTTGCTTTATCCTTATATTATATTATTACTTTAATTTTCTTAGATTAATAGAAAGAGGAGGTGCTAAATCTATTTAAAATATTGTTTAATATTTACAATATGGAAAAATGAAAAAGAATTGATTCAATTGATTAATGTTTCCTGTTACTACATAAACTATTAATTCATTCATTTATCTTTCTTTATGAAAAAGTCATGTCAGACTACTCTATTAGCTGAATTATCTTAATTTTCAACAGATGTCAATAATTCTATAATAATTATGATGAGTGACAAAATATCTATACCATCATTCAGATATGTTCAATAATAATTTTAACATAAAATTTTGAATTTTAAAAGATTATTTAACTGAAAATTATTCAAATTACAGTATTTCTTATTTGATAATTCAATAATTTTGATTTACAAGAAAGTGATTCATCCACAGTTCAAATCTATCATTATGTTTGACTACTGTATGAGTATATGATGATTTTGATTATGCAACTTTGATACTGTTAAAAATATACAGAAAGAAAATAGTATTATATTAATTTTTAAATGAAATAATGTATATCTTGTAACTATTTAAATTTTGAATTTACAGAATATATAAAATAGTAATTGGGTATAATGAGATAACATATCAGACATATTTCTCTATTCTACTATAAAACAGTAGTTACTTATGCTTTTCTTGTTAACATACTCATCATAACTCTAAGTAAATAGTAGAAAAGATGAGAATTTTTATATATAATAAAGATACATCATTTTAAAAAATATTTAAACTTACAAAAAATAATTTCCATACTGATCTGCTCTAACTCCAACTGCAAGTCCAACAATAATAGCTGGAGCACCTATAGATTAAAGTAATTATTTAAACAATGTTAAATCATTTTTTATTAAAAAAAATTATTAAACAAATGAAAGATTTAATTACCATAACCAATGGAGTAATAAAATCTCATTTGACCGTGATTAATATCTCTCATTTCGGTTAACATTCGATAAAGATGAACTGCTTCCATGAACATCCAAGAAAATATGCATAAAAATGTATAGTGCAATAAAATTGCAACAACTTTACATGGAAACTGAAATATTTTACAATGTGTTCAAATATTTTATTACTATAACAAATAATATATTTAATTATAAGCATAACAAATATTTAATTAAAATGATACATACCTCTTTATGAACTAAATTCCTTCGAGATTTAAGAGCTACCAAGAATAGTAATTCTGCAAAAAATAAGCATGCAACTAGATTTTTATGAATTGTGTTGCTATTAGTTTGTAACCCACGAAGAATGCAAAATACAATAAATGAAGCTGCTAACATTAGTAATGATATAATTATTCCAACGTATGATACGATATCTTGAGCAACTGATTCTTCAATTAAAAACTGTTAGAAAACAGAGAAATATATATTTATATATATACATTTTGAATATATGTTGTTTTATAATAATTATTTTAAAATATATTTACTTCTCTATCGGTGATATCCATCAATACTGAAAAACTAGACAAATGACCACAACTACAATTTACATAAGGATGATGACCATAAGAAACAGCTTCTACTTTGCAACCTTTAGATGACCATTTTCCTCGATCACTATGATTAATAATAATAATAATAATTAATATTAGATAGCAATTATTAATCTTAGATTTATAACAATCATTTAATTCACTTTACCCAATTCCAAAATTCCAATGAACACATTGTGGATTACTACGACTAGTTATATCGAGAATACGGAATCGGAATCGGATATTATGTAGGAGACTATTCAAAGTAGAACTCTGATTCAATGGTTGGGCCACTAATGTAATGATTGGAGAGCTAACTCCCAAATTGATCCCATATCTTTGCCTAAAATGATAATTATGTCAAGCGAAGTTAATTTGAATTATTAAATTCAATTTTATTCAAATTTTAAAAACTATTGGGGATATTTTTAAAATTAAGATTATTACAGTGATTTATATCTAATAATTCAAAACTGTTTTGATTTATATACCTGATGATCACGTCGTAAAATTTAGGCAATATTTCTCCCATAGTTGGATATATAAGATATGAAATTACAGCTACTTCTTTTGGGATATGATTTGAATTGTGACGTGCATTATTTGTATCTATAAATTAAAAATAACTTGCTTAGATTGATAAATTTAAATATTTTATCTTTTGATATCATATCATTTAATACAATGATATTAAATGCTTACCTAATAAGCTCTTTACACCGATTGTTTTTAAGGGAATTATGGCACGAGTAATATCATCTGCATAGTGTTTGCGTACAGGATAATTATTATATTTTGGTATAATTACTGAAGGACCGCTGTCTTCGTGAAATATTTCTAAATATGCAGATGGTTCGGGATGCAATGAGTAAGTTGAGTTTTTATTATTATCTCGAAGTATAGAATAACCCCATAATTCTGCAGTAGAAATTGTATCTAATCCAAATACTGTAAAGAAAATTATAATAATTTTAATATAATATTTTAGATTTTTTATCAATGGTAAGCAAAATATTTAAATATCAGGCATACTCATATTTTTTGATGCAATTTCAAAAGGTTTTGTAAATGTATCTCCTTGATTATACACTAGTGTTTGTCCATACTTTTCGAACATTAATAGGAGATGTTCTGGTCCGTCTCCTGTAATGGTTGCAATACGCTCCCAGACTTCAAAATAACGTGGTTCAAAAATGGCACTTGCTGAAAATACTAAATTCTGAAAAATGTTTTCATAATTATTTTAATTAGATCTTCATTGAATCACTGAAAATATTACAAATATTTTCATTTATGTCACCTGAATAAAGTCTCTATCTTGGCGATGAGTCAAATTTAAACCTCTCTGATGATTTTCATAATTTAAAACATGGTGAAGGAGACGTGCAAGAATTAAAATATCTGTTCCATAAAGTTGTTCAGTAGCATTTACAGCATTTTTCATATCAGCAGAAATTTTTATGGCTAAGTATGTACTGAGAGGCAATTTATTTATTTCTATAACAGAGAGCTGTAAAATTTCCATCAAAGCAAAATTTATTTTATTTTAATTAATGAAATTCTTAAAATAAAAAGCTTTATGTGAAAAGTTATACAAACATGGAAACATCTAATTTATTGGATTATTAACGGGCTATAATAATGCTATTAATTAGATAATTAAACTACTAATTTGATATAAAGATAAGTGATTATACCACCTTTAGGTCAAATTATGTAATTTAATTATCTAATTAACAATAATATCATAGCCTGTTAATAATCAAGTAATTCAGATATTTGGTTATTTGAAAATCATATCTAAACTCTTACTAAACTTTTAATAATTTTATATAATTGCAATAAAATAATATAATCTAATACGATACTCTTATGTGTAAATAAATTATTACACTATAAAAAATAATGCACTATATAACGTGTATAATATAATTAACAGTTACATAAATGACAATTATAAGCCATATTTATTATTATTTAAAACTATGTAATCTATCAGTTGTATTTCTCTACATCCAAGTTTTCAATTCATAATTACAATATAAAGAAAGTCCTTATATTGTTATAGCATTTTAATACTTACTTGATCAGATAATTCTACAAAAGTGTCAGATGTACAATTAAATAGATCCGGTTTTTCCCAACCAATATCCGAAGTACATAATCTTGAAGCATTACCTAAGATATAATTTATTTTAAATATATTTTCAGCTATTTACTGTATTTTATATTTTCTTATAATATACCTCTTGAACCTTTAGGACATATGTGAATAGCTCTATGTTCAAATAATGTTCTTTCCCACCATATTCCATTACTAAATGATTGGGGACAACTATCATATATAACTGAAAAATGAATACATTAATAAATTAAATATTTTAAAAAATCTCTTTGTATTAAAGGAATATATAAAATTATACCTTCGCAACCTCTCAATGTGACTTCTGCAAATGGATTTGAACACGAATCACATCTGCGACCTATAACACCTGCTCTGCATCGGCATTGCCCAGTGAATGGATCGCAACGATTACTAAAAGATCCAGTTGCATAACAGTCACAATCAAAACATATATCGCTATTTGGAGGTTGAAAATGATTTTCCTAGAATGTTGAAGAAAAATCAATTATATGTTGATGTAAGAATACAGCTATTATATAATAAAAAAATAACATACTTCACATGTACATTCACCCGTTGATTTATTACAATTAGCATCGTAACCTTTGCTAACATCACAATCACATGGTCCACATATAGGATATCCCCACCAATTTGAAGGGCATGGCTGATCAAAAGGAATCTCACAATACTGTCCTGAGTGTAAAGAGTCACATTCACAATAATAATTATGACTGTATGGATGTAATGACTTTCCAGGTTCAATTACATGACATAATGATTTATATTCACAAGGATTCAATTGACAAACAGGAAGGCACTCTTCTCCTACATATCCTATAAAATTATGTTTAAATATAAATACTGAAAATTATAAAGTAAAAGCCACATTATTCATAACATAATTTCAGGCTGTATGTTATATAATGTAATTTAGCTTAATTCTATCTCAAAAATAATCCAGGTTTTACATATGTTTAGCTATTAAAAATTCAGATATATTTTATTGTATTTATATCAATAAATTTAATTTATTACAAAAAAAAAAGTCAGTTTTACTTATAGCAACCACATATATAATAATATATTATACTATTTGTCTGTTGTATAGTTTTTTTTAAGATCTTTGCATCATTGAAAAATTTTTTTGCACCCTTATAAAAATTCTGAACAAAATGGTGACAGGCACAATAAATAGAATAAAATTATCCTGTTTATATGTTGTAAAATATCAACTATTTATCATTCAATTGGAAGAATGATATCATAGCACATGATCTATCAAACCAATCATCTGGGTGAATAAACATTGGCATTCAGTAATATAAAAATCAGCATTTAAAAGTCTACAATGAACAATATGCTTTATGGATTTTTGAATTATCTTTAGGATAATAGTAGAAAAAAAACTGGTCTTTTTTTAATGCTCTTTATTTCACTTTCTGGAACTGCTACTGATATTTTTATTAATTACTGTGAAAATAGAAGAGATTTCAGAAACTTTATCAACTTATTCAATAAATTGAATATTCACAGGCAATTTTAATGTTTGTACTTTAGAAAAAACATTTAGAATTTTATATAATTATGAAACTGATATAAATGAAAAATTATAATTTTAAATTACGCTGTAATAGAAATACTCGTATATCAGATTTAAATTGATTTCTACTTAGTAGATAATTAATTTCATTTAAACTCCAATAACTAAAATCTAATTCCTAAATCAGATAAATTGGCATTCTGTAATAATTCAATATGAATAATTTAAAATTATATTAATATTTTAGCATTCTTATCTCTAATATTAAATTTTATTAAAATTCATTGAATCAGTATTAACCTATTTACGTAGCCAATTCTTAATAACAGATACTTGCTTAAAAATATATAAACTAGCATTTTACCTGGATCACACTGACATTTATAATCTTCCCATAAGTCAATACATTGACTGTGAGCAGGACATGTATTAGAATGACACGGATTAGGAACTCTACATCCTTCTCTTACATTTGTTTCGACCGTTGGACGTAACCAAGCCTCTTGATTATTTCCTATTTTTACATTCTACAAATACAAGTGAAAATTAAAATCAAAAATGAAAACAATAAATTTTAAATTAACGTACCTGAATACATCCTTTAAAATAATTAACTTTCTCTAATAATTCACTTGGTTCTAATCCACCAATGGATACTTTACCAATATACATTCCTTTAATACTACCTTCAATGTCTTTTGTAATCTATAAAAGAAATACAGTATTGATTATCTCGTAGTTATGATTATTGTAGTTTAATAGAGACTACAATGTCATACCTCGTATTGACCATAATCTAAGCTAAGCCATACACCATTACTCATCCATTTTGCTTCAATGTGATGCCACTTTCCATCATTCACTCTGACATCAGGTAATATAAGAAATTTATCATTTAGATGATAACGTATGTGACCATTGATAATCTGTTCAAATACATATTTTCTTAATATAATCTTAGTTAAAGTTTAACAACTTATATAATTTTTTTTAAAATATTTACTTCTAATTCAATCTTATTGTTTTGACCGAGTTGTATTTGCATTAAAAGCCCATCCTCCTGCCTAGTTCGAAATGATAAACTGTTAATCCAGGGCATGTTTATTGGACGGAAATGAGGATTAAATATGAGAAATCCATCGCCTAAGAAATGTCTGGCTGGTTCCACTCCTAAAGGCCAAAATGATACTACAGTTATTTGTAAAAGATTGTTTAAAAATAAAAAAAGAAAGATTACATCCTTAAAACATTATACATTACTTAAATAAAGACAAGACACAAGACTTAAGAAAAATAAAAAACAAAAATTAAGATAATTTTATTTGATATCAATATATATATACAGCAGCAATAAAAAAACACATAATTGATAATTAACCTACTTTGTTACAGAATTAATTAATAAACCGGAAATTGTAATTTATGTTTCTTGCACAATTAAATTACTGATATCCTCTATAATAATTTTCAAGTTTAATAGGTAAATATAAATAGCAATTTTTGATAAAGAAATTTAATATGATGATATTAGTTAATTAATTTTGTTAGCCGCTTCTTAAGTGATACTTTAATAAATAATAATTGTACGGACACTGTACAAATATATGAACAAGGCTTTAAATTAAAATAGGTTATAAACCATCAAAAATATTTAATTTAAACTCAATTTACATGTTTCACAGTTGTAAATATTACAAAGTTATTTTTAAATATTTTCTACAATAAGACACTTAAATTATATATAGCGGAAAATATAATTTATGCATATTTATAATAAGTTTATAAATATGAATGTATCTTTTATTTCTTTTACGATACCTACCTCTTTCTAAATTTTTCCACAAGTCTGATGAAATAAATTAAAAGAAGTTAAGTAAAACAAATTTAATAATAATTCTGTTATATATTAATATTAATGGCATTATATCCTTTAAAATTTGAATACCTGTGTCACAATCCTGGCCTCCAAATCCGACGGGACATCGGCAAACATAAGAACCCCATCCTTCCTCACATAAACCACCATTCTGACAAGGATGAGACTGACAAAATCCTTTTTTCTCCGAGCATCCGGCAATTGTTCCATTGTTAGCAACAAAACTAAAATGTTTTAATAATAAATTTATTAAAGAGAACTGAAATAAACTAATTAATACATATTAAATTTTTACATTAATTACCTGTTAAGATCTAATAATTTATGATCTATGTATAAATCCATAATACAACCAACAAAATCCTTATTAGCAATTTGGAATTTGGATGGGAGAATGGGAAGTCCGCCAAGCTGTAATGGACCCATCAGATCCAAATATCGATAGCACGTTTGCATTAAATCGGCACACCTTTTAAAACAATACAGTTTTATATTATCTGTTAAATAGCTTCAGTTAATTGAAAAATTTTATAAAGAAGAGTTATTACCTAGGTTCTAAAATTTGTGTAGTTTTATTTGCACAAAGATAATTTCCAAGTTCTATTCCATGTTTGATTGCCAATGCACTGTCACAGTTATCGATACTGATTGTTGCTGTCTAAAAATTTATAATGTTTAAAATTTAATTAGTTTAATGAAAATATAATACTTCAGAGACTTACCCTATTTAAATAAGTAATTTCAACTGTATGCCACTGTCCATCACTAATTCCACCAGGAATGGAAGCAGAAACTTTTGATATTTTTACTCCAAGAGAGAAGGAAAACACTAATTGTGAATTGATAATTTCTAATGCAATAAAGTCATGTTTATCATTATATCGGCCATTATAGAGAATAACTGCATTTTTCTCACGGGTGGCAAATCTAAAAGTGGGATAAAAATATAATAATAAAATTAGAATGAATATGGTGATAACTGTTTATATTTAATGATAATTTTTACCTGAGTTTAATATGGATACGATGACGTTGTCGAAGTGAAGGAAAAGTTAAAAAAGAACCCCTAGGAAAGCTTCTTGCGCGAAGTTCACAAAACTTTGTGCTCCAAGAGTGATGCGTACAATTTTGACAGACAATTCCTCCTTCGGAAATTTTGCAACGAGAATTTCCAGAACATAATCCCACCCTGCATCCGTCTTCCCAAAGATTTACCTCACAGTTTTTTCCTGTTAATAAATTCAAATTATTACAATGCATTAATATCTAATTAATATTANATAAAATAGACAATTTTGATGAATAATTTTTATAAAAATATATATAGTAAAACTATATCATGTTGTAATAAAATAGATTAAAAGATATATTGGGTATATAGTCATGTTTACTAATTATGTTGATAGATAAAAATCACTTCACAGATCTAAAAGACAAATATTTCATTGAAAAATATAAACAAAAAGAAATTTTACTGAAAAAATTTATCTTCTAGTGAGAATAAATAGGTCATTTTAAATTGTTTTTACCTTTGCTTTATCCTTATATTATATTATTACTTTAATTTTCTTAGATTAATAGAAAGAGGAGGTGCTAAATCTATTTAAAATATTGTTTAATATTTACAATATGGAAAAATGAAAAAGAATTGATTCAATTGATTAATGTTTCCTGTTACTACATAAACTATTAATTCATTCATTTATCTTTCTTTATGAAAAAGTCATGTCAGACTACTCTATTAGCTGAATTATCTTAATTTTCAACAGATGTCAATAATTCTATAATAATTATGATGAGTGACAAAATATCTATACCATCATTCAGATATGTTCAATAATAATTTTAACTTTTTATAACATATAACAGTAAAATCTTTTTTAAAGAAATATATTTAATGAGTATCAAGAACATGGCCAGATGGCCAAGCAGTAAGGTGTTGGCCTACTACTCTGTGGACCTAGGAATGAATCTGGACAGGTCAAAAATCTCCAGAAATTTTTCCAGGGTGTCTGTTCCAAATATCTCGGACCCTGTCCCTCACCTCCCAGACCCAATATGGGACTAAGAAAGGGCTCTCTTAGGTGTGTCCATAGGTCAGAAAGAGTAATAAAAGAAGGTATCAAGAATACTTGTGCAAAAATAGACATTACATATTAGTTATTATCTCACTTGGTTATAGCATATGAAATATATAATGCAAGCAATCTGTAAACATAAAATGAATAAATAAATTATAATTTATTAAGTTAGAATTATTCAAATTGTATCTTTGTCATGTTATATTACTGAATACTGTTCTGTTTTGTATACTATTTTATTAAATACTTATGAAAATGCAAAAAGTTATCATTGCAAAAGTACAGAATGTTTTGTACTATATGAAATTTAAAAATTATATTTAATAATTTATATATGGATTCAAGGATTCATTGTCGAAGACATTGACTCGACAACACTGCAAGTGGTTTATTAACTAAACAAGTGGCGGATAGTTAAAAATGATTTTTATAAGGTCTACTCAACAAATAGGAAAATAAATTTTTAAAGTATATCTGATATCCTAAAAACATTCCATATAAGAAAATATGGAAGTAAAGCTAACTGTAAGACAACTAAAATAAGAGGATAATAGTGATTGATGGTATACTAAAATAATATATTTTTGGAAGTTGAGATGTCAAGAATTTATATAAAAATGGAAAATTTCGGATTTGACATGAGAATGACAATAATAATAAAATATTCCTATTCCAAGATAGTATTTTATAAAAAGTTTATAAGCTATGCTAATTAAAATTGCAGAGTACTAGAAAAATAATCCATACATCAAAATTAATGCAGGTTAAAAGCACAAGAATCAAATAAGAATATATACTAAATAAAATATGATTTAAAGGACAATATAAAGATATATTTTCTTTCTACCTAAAATATCTATAGATTTATGACAGAGAATTTAAAATTTCAAAATCAGCCGTAAAGACGATACTTTCTGTACTGTTTTGCGGAACTATTTTAGTAATGGTTTACTACTATAATCAATATAAATTTCAATTGTAAATGAAAGAAAGCAATTTTATTTATTTAGAGTTTACGTCAGGCATTCATGAATTAATAAAAATCTGTAAATACTTTTATTGTAAAATCGATTTCGTGACTTTATATAATATAAAATGATGCCAAAAAATATATATTAAGCCTATTATATTCCAAATAAATATAAAATTATTCCTAACATCAATAAAAAATAATAATAATTTTTAATAACAATAAACATATTAAACATGTTTTATGACTTATAAATTATATCTTATTACTATTGTATTTGTATTGCACATTAAAAATTTTAATAACGTTATTTTGTTTCTTAGATACTAATGAAATTTACTTTAGATTTGTATTTGTTGATTTTGGCTTTTGTGTAAAGCCAACAAATGCTATATTATATACAGTAATGAAAATTTTAAATGCTATTTTACATAGAAAATTTTTATTATTTCCTATTGTTTGCAAAATAGTTAGAATGCAATGAGCATTTAATAATAAACAATAAATTAATGAAATTTGTTTTATTTAAATAAATTATACAGACATCAACAGAGACAAAATAAAGCTATCCTTAAGAAAAAAAATACACTAATAACAAATGGTAATCTTGTAAAGCTTAACATGTAATACCCTAGTTTAATATAAAAGAAAATGAATAAATAAAAATAATAAATATCTGCAATGGTATTATGCTGTTATATAATGTTTTTTTACATACGAACTTAAATTTTTTAATTAAAGTTTAAATATAATACCTCAAAATCAATAATAGAATCGATAGTCATAAAAAGCATTTGTTGTAATAAGATAAAAAGAATGGTCTATATTTACATAATGTGTCTCTAGAAATGGAGTTGAAATTAATAAAATAGACAATTTTGATGAATAATTTTTATAAAAATATATATAGTAAAACTATATCATGTTGTAATAAAATAGATTAAAAGATATATTGGGTATATAGTCATGTTTACTAATTATGTTGATAGATAAAAATCACTTCACAGATCTAAAAGACAAATATTTCATTGAAAAATATAAACAAAAAGAAATTTTACTGAAAAAATTTATCTTCTAGTGAGAATAAATAGGTCATTTTAAATTGTTTTTACCTTTGCTTTATCCTTATATTATATTATTACTTTAATTTTCTTAGATTAATAGAAAGAGGAGGTGCTAAATCTATTTAAAATATTGTTTAATATTTACAATATGGAAAAATGAAAAAGAATTGATTCAATTGATTAATGTTTCCTGTTACTACATAAACTATTAATTCATTCATTTATCTTTCTTTATGAAAAAGTCATGTCAGACTACTCTATTAGCTGAATTATCTTAATTTTCAACAGATGTCAATAATTCTATAATAATTATGATGAGTGACAAAATATCTATACCATCATTCAGATATGTTCAATAATAATTTTAACATAAAATTTTGAATTTTAAAAGATTATTTAACTGAAAATTATTCAAATTACAGTATTTCTTATTTGATAATTCAATAATTTTGATTTACAAGAAAGTGATTCATCCACAGTTCAAATCTATCATTATGTTTGACTACTGTATGAGTATATGATGATTTTGATTATGCAACTTTGATACTGTTAAAAATATACAGAAAGAAAATAGTATTATATTAATTTTTAAATGAAATAATGTATATCTTGTAACTATTTAAATTTTGAATTTACAGAATATATAAAATAGTAATTGGGTATAATGAGATAACATATCAGACATATTTCTCTATTCTACTATAAAACAGTAGTTACTTATGCTTTTCTTGTTAACATACTCATCATAACTCTAAGTAAATAGTAGAAAAGATGAGAATTTTTATATATAATAAAGATACATCATTTTAAAAAATATTTAAACTTACAAAAAATAATTTCCATACTGATCTGCTCTAACTCCAACTGCAAGTCCAACAATAATAGCTGGAGCACCTATAGATTAAAGTAATTATTTAAACAATGTTAAATCATTTTTTATTAAAAAAAATTATTAAACAAATGAAAGATTTAATTACCATAACCAATGGAGTAATAAAATCTCATTTGACCGTGATTAATATCTCTCATTTCGGTTAACATTCGATAAAGATGAACTGCTTCCATGAACATCCAAGAAAATATGCATAAAAATGTATAGTGCAATAAAATTGCAACAACTTTACATGGAAACTGAAATATTTTACAATGTGTTCAAATATTTTATTACTATAACAAATAATATATTTAATTATAAGCATAACAAATATTTAATTAAAATGATACATACCTCTTTATGAACTAAATTCCTTCGAGATTTAAGAGCTACCAAGAATAGTAATTCTGCAAAAAATAAGCATGCAACTAGATTTTTATGAATTGTGTTGCTATTAGTTTGTAACCCACGAAGAATGCAAAATACAATAAATGAAGCTGCTAACATTAGTAATGATATAATTATTCCAACGTATGATACGATATCTTGAGCAACTGATTCTTCAATTAAAAACTGTTAGAAAACAGAGAAATATATATTTATATATATACATTTTGAATATATGTTGTTTTATAATAATTATTTTAAAATATATTTACTTCTCTATCGGTGATATCCATCAATACTGAAAAACTAGACAAATGACCACAACTACAATTTACATAAGGATGATGACCATAAGAAACAGCTTCTACTTTGCAACCTTTAGATGACCATTTTCCTCGATCACTATGATTAATAATAATAATAATAATTAATATTAGATAGCAATTATTAATCTTAGATTTATAACAATCATTTAATTCACTTTACCCAATTCCAAAATTCCAATGAACACATTGTGGATTACTACGACTAGTTATATCGAGAATACGGAATCGGAATCGGATATTATGTAGGAGACTATTCAAAGTAGAACTCTGATTCAATGGTTGGGCCACTAATGTAATGATTGGAGAGCTAACTCCCAAATTGATCCCATATCTTTGCCTAAAATGATAATTATGTCAAGCGAAGTTAATTTGAATTATTAAATTCAATTTTATTCAAATTTTAAAAACTATTGGGGATATTTTTAAAATTAAGATTATTACAGTGATTTATATCTAATAATTCAAAACTGTTTTGATTTATATACCTGATGATCACGTCGTAAAATTTAGGCAATATTTCTCCCATA